TTTTATAAGTATTACTTTGTTATATCACCTAATTTTATATAGTCACAGCACTCCACTAAAAATTTCCGCCCATATGATTAGTTTGACCAGCATCAACTACTAAACCAGACCATCCAAAATTGATTAGGTCAATATTAACAAGTCTGATCTTGCCTAATTCTGGAAAATATATATACTGTAATAAAATTATTTTTTTCTAGTTATATAGATATAATATGTGCTAACAAACTTATTTGATTAACCTGTAAAAACAATATAACCAAATTAGTTAACAGTTATAAAAAATTTACACATTACAGCATTATATGTAGTAAATATTTACAAATAAATTTATTTTATATATATATAAAATTAATAAACAACCTTTATAGTCGCTTACTACATTATAACGTTAAATATAAGATTTTGATCTTAAATATTTAAAAAGCACTAATTAATAAAACATTCTGAATGCTATTATTTAAATAAAACATATTAATACTAATCAATTATTTATCAGCCCACTTTTTAACCCATTCTTTAGCTTTTTCCAAAATCTCATTAATCTTTTGTTCATCACCAGCAACCTCATTTTTCAAAGCTTTTATAGCTTTTTCATAACACATCTCACATTCATCTTTAAATGTTTCAAACATTATAATTTCCAAATATGCTATTGCTAATGCCAAACATAATACTTTTTCATTTCCAACTCCAATAACTTCAAAATCTTTAAAATCATTTTTACAAAACCAGGAATAAAATTTAGTAGATGGTAAAAATGAACCATCAAATGATTGGAAATTAAGAAAATTATAAAGAGCTTCAATATTTGGAGGTTTTGATTTTACAGATATAGTTGGTAAAACTGGTTCAAAAGATTTATAAGTTTCATCAATTCCAAGTTTTACACGTTTTCCAGAACGTCTTATCCCCTTATTCAAAGACATAGAAAGAGACTGATAAGACTGTCGACTTCTATTAGAAAGAATTGGACTTGAAGAAAATGATGCCATTCTGGATCTTTTTACATGCAGAACAGAATCACTATCTATTGGATATTGAGGTACTAATCCATGAGAAGAACCCAGTAAGATTAACAAGCTATACATTATATTGAATTGCTTTTGGATTTAATAATATATTACTTACAATTCATGGATTCATAAGAATAAGAATATGGAGAGGCTTTACGAGTCTCAGGAGAAAAGAAATAATTAGCAGCTGAAGGAGATTGTGCGGCTGGAGGAGCAACTGAATAAAAGTTAGCAGCTGGAGGAGGAGGAGGTGAATAATAAGCAGCTGATTTTGAGCAATAATCAACTAAAACAGGAGCTGGATAAGCTGAATAAGCAGTAGTAGGAACTGGGACTATTCTTTGGCCTGGTAAACTTTTGGCTTCTGCTACTAACTCATTATCTCTTTCATCAATTGCAAGAAAACTAAATATATCAAAAAGTGATTAATATTTATATTAGCTGTAAAAAAATAATATATTAAAAAAAAATTATAAAAAATTGCCTTGTATATTGAGATGCCAAACTATATATTATACCCAATTTTATAATTTGATTACGAACAAGTGAGTTTGGTAAACTTTTTCCCACATTTCTTGGATGCTTATGAATAAATGAAGTTCCATCTTCAATATCTTGAATAAGTTTTCTGGCAGCAAGTGTATGTATTTTTGATCCTTTTAAGATTACAGGATCTAATGGAATAGAAAGCTTCATAGGACCATCATGAGAACTTGCACTCAATGTAATTTCTTTACACCTTTTTCTAAAATGCAATAAACTATAAATCAAGCACCTGGATAAATTGGTGGAATTAAAAATGGAGCTTGTTGAATTTTAATATCCGTAAAGATATTTTGAACAGCCGGTGGAGGTGTAGTATTATCGCTGAAGAAACTAATAGTTGGTTTATCAGTTGTATTAGCAACAATTGGTAAGGAATCATCAATAATCTGGTCAGTCCAAGTAATATTATAATCCTTAATAGGAGGTTTTATAGCATTTTTTAACATTCCAAGAATCTTTTTGTCCATTCTTTCAGTATTTGTAACAAATTGCGAGTATCCTTTACCAGCACGAGCAACAGACTCAACTAAATGATGAGAAACTGAATCACCAATTCCAATTGAAAAGAATCTTAAATCATCCTTTTTCTCTTCTTCACAAGATTTGATAAGTTCTACAATTCGATCAACATCATATTAATCTATTTAGAAATTTCGCGTAAAAGAATAATAGAAGGCAAATTTTAATGAAATAGAAAGCTTTTTTTTTCATAACCTGAAAAATAATGAATTATTACATTCACGTTAATAATAAAAATACTGCTGCAACAATATAATTTCGATTTATTTTTCAAGTAATGAAAAAAAGCTCTCTATTTCATTAAAATTTGCTATCCATTATGCTTTCACGCGAAATTTCTAAATAGATTAATATGTAGAATGTCAAAGAGTTACAATTTGAAATTTGCAATTCTTCGTGAAAAATTGTCATATATTTTCTTGATATTCTATATATTAATCTATTTAGAAATTTCGCATGAGTTTATTGGTTAGCATATTCTACTGAAATAGAGAGCTTTTTTCCATAATCCGAAAATATAAAAAAGACTGAAATTTATCGCAACTTAATATTGCCGCAATAGTTTATTATGAATGTTACATAAAAAATCTTAACTAATTGATTTAACATGTGCAGGTTCAGGTGTTGCACACGTGGATACATATTGTTAGTAAATTGTCATCCAGTATGATGTCGAGTAAATGATATCAGATATGGTGGAAATCACTTAACCGACAGTCATTTCGACAAGTCATTTAACCGCATCATTGAGGGTGACAATTTAGCATTTTATTAGTTTTAGCATATATAATTAGTAAATTGTCACGTTACGTGATGTCGGTTAAAATAATTGTCGTTGAAATAATACAGAAAATGGGCGAATATCCTCAAAATATAGCGTTGACTGGCCATTTTACAATATATTTTAAATATAGATAAGGGTTCTTAATGCCTTTAAATTAAAACAAGGCGACCTCGTGAAGCTTTAGATTCCTGATGCAGATATATAAAGATATCATCTAATATTAAAAAAAAAAAAAAATGAAAGTGCATTCATCAAGTTGGGTCCACTAGGTTATACAATTAAGCTCATCTAATAAACTGAGAAAATGATAGACTGACTATCTGCTATTAAAATGCGTTGAGCTGATTTAATGCTAAATAATCGTAAAAAAGAATTATAGCTGTTATACTAATTAGTTAGCCTGATCAAGTATGTGTTAACTTTGAATTAAATAGATTATATTCAACTGTTAGTGCAAATTCCTGGATTGATTGATAACTAGCCTGAGAAAGGCTCCTTCATGAGTATTTAAGCAAATTTTATTAATACAATTTAATAATTTTTGTATAAAGAACATTTCATTTGTAATAATTTTTTTAGAACATATCGGTAATTATAAATATCATTTATAAATTTAAAAATTATTAGTTTAAGATTGCAAGGATTCTCCATTGAATATACTAAAGTGACTTAATCACAATTTATATTAATGCATTGCTATATATCAAAATCTAAATATATATATAATTCAAATACAATAAGAAAATTTCTTGGTTTACACGTAGTGTCTGTACATGGGTATTAATTAATAATTTGCACATTCGTACAATTTTTTTGTTAACAAAAGTTAACCGCTTAATATTAAAGTAAGGTTAGGTTTAAAGCTTAAAGAAAAGCCTAGTTTACAATAAAATTTTGCAAGGTATCTTTTTTGTTAGAATACCATAGGTAGCTTTATTAATAAAAATTTTGGGAAATACAATATCCGTATATATAGACATAGTGTGCAAATAAAAATTCTCGTCTAATAATGTGTAATACAGTATAAATTATGTTAGGTATTTGACCGGCGCAAAGATAATTCGAGAGAATAAGAAATAATATCAAATACAGGTAAAAATAAATCGAAAACTTAAAAGTGTAATTCTAACAAGTATCTAATTTTCTTCTCTTATTCTTATTGCCATCATTTAAAAGACTATCTAAACATTCAACTAAATCTGTAGTATCATAATGTGCTTCTTTAGGCATTCCAACAAGTTTTAGAATACCATCTACAACGACAAAAAAACGAAAAGGCCATGGTGAATATAATTTTAAGAAAGTGTCATCCATAGTATCTGCTAACACAGGAATCTCTAATTCAGTATTTTTAATCATTTCACGAGCAGCAATTAAACGATCGGTTAATGTGCGATGTTCTTTAACATCTACAACATTACCAATTGGCCAAACATTACTGGCATGTGCTTCCCGAATTTGAATCATATAGAAATCTACCTGTGCTTTATATCGTTTATAAATATCATTAAGTACGTGAGATATGTATCGATACAAAGGACAAGTATATGATCCTCCAAGAAGAACAAGAGGTCTCCCTGATTGATAAAGTGAATGTAAAGAAATCGTAGTCAATACATTAGTATTACTGGTTTCTGTTGTAGGCTCAAGAGGGACTAATTGACAATTTGGAGCCATCATTCCTTCGGTTAGATTTCCTAAATTAGCAATATTGTTACGAACATATAATTGAGTGGTTTGAAATGCAGGATCGTCTAAAATATTAATAATAATAATCATCTTAAGTATATCAAAATAAAAAACATAATTATTGCCATGATCAAAAATAACAAACATCATACCTTTGTAAATTTGTGGAGCACGGCGTAATAATTGTACAGCTTCATCCGAATATCCAAACTTACGAACTAAATCATATTGCATTTTATCAGTAACATCCATCCAATCCATTCCAAGTGTGGGGTCACTCCCAACTTTATGATATTGTTTCTGTATTTCAGGTGACAATCGTTGTTGTTCTTCTTCTTGAAGTAAGGTTAACAGTTCTTCTTTTGTAGTTGGTAGTATTGGATGTATAGAAATAGAGTGAGCAGGGATATTTTTTAAATCATCGTTTGAGCTCGGAGGAATCAAAATTTTCATAAAAGTATGTTGGTCATTATGAAGCAATTTAGACATTGTAATACAATTGCAACACAAATCATAATCAGGGCATTCTTGACATTTATATCTATTTTAGAGAAGTTAACAAAAAATAAAGGCATGATGTAAATGCTAATGCCCAATGGGCAGATATTACTCCTGTAGAAAGAAAAAAAAGCAAAGAATTTTGCGTATATAAACCTTGTTCCTTTCCATCCACTTTTACCACAGTAATCACAAGCAATATCAATATGAACTCCACTTTGTAGAATTTCTTCATGGGTTGGCATATAATATGTAAGTGGTGGCAATGCATCAAAATCTCTACGACAACTGGTTTCATGAAACATCCCACCACGTAATCTGAGTATAAGATGTAAAGTGCTTTCTTTTCGGATATTATAATCTGCTAGGGTATAGTCATTTTCTAGTCTTTTTCCTGCAAATACAAGTGTTTGTTGGTTAGGGGGAATACCTTCCTTATCTTGAATCTTTTCTTTAACTTGATCAATAAAATCATCATTAGATACTTCCAGAGTCAAAGTCTTCCCTGTTAATAGTTGAACAAAGATTTGCATTGTACCAGATATTTTTTCATTATCGTTATTTATATAAATAAGATCCAACATAGATTCAAGTTTAATATTGTAATCTGCAAATGTATACTTATTCTCCAATATCATTCCTTCAAAAATAAGAATACATTCGTGATGATAATTAGATACTTTACTAATCATTTGCTTAATGGCAATGATGGTACTATTTTCAGACACTTCTAGAACTATCTTTTTTTGGGACGGCATTTTTACATAAATTTGACCAGCTGAAAAGTTTGCCCCGCTGTTTTTCTTAACAATGTTGTTCCTAAGCAGGAGAAATATTTTAGAATGCTGACGAACTCTGCTTCTTATTAGTGTGTTCCCGTCTACCAATTGTCTTCCATTAAAAATAAGACATTGATGATCAACGTGGATTCCTTCTTTATGTTGGATCACTTTTTTTAATTCAGAAACAGTATCATTCAAAAATACGTCTAGAGTTATAGATTTTCCATTAAATTGTTCCACATAGATAGAGATTAATGGAGAATAATATTCCAAATGGATTTTGTAATTTAATAAAGTTTCGTCAATCTCCTCAGTTGCTTTTTCTGAAATAGTATAAGTATATTCAAATTTATGGACATCGTCACTTAATGGGATTTCTTTTTGAGTTTTAAGACTGAATGACAAATAGAACTTGTCATTAGGAATAGCCTCCTTATCCTGGATAATTTTTCTAAGGGTGTTAACAGTAATATCATAACACACTTCTAACACTAAAGTTTTTCTAGTGGGCATTTGTATGTGTATTATACCTTTCGAAATTAACAAAAGATGTAATACAGATTCCTTTTTTATACAGTAGTCTGAAATGAGACGCTCGTCATCCAAAAACTTGCCAGCAAATATAAGGCGTTGTTGATCAGGACAATAGGATTCCTTATTTTGGATCATTTCCTTAAGAGAATAAACCGTGTCACTTCCAGCTACTTGTAAGTTTATAATTTTTCCAGTGGAAGTTTTCACACATATTTGGCCTTTTGAAGACTTTGCTATGATTGGTTCAGATACAACTTGTGTTGGTTCTGATATAATCTGTGCTAACGATTCCGATCCAGGATTATTGGCTAATATGTAATGGTAATGCATAGTTAATAAAATAAAAAAGTATTACGGAAATTTAGATAGTTAAGATAGTAAGATAGGACGAATGGTTTTTAAAATTCTTTAAAGAAGCCCTTACTACAAACATAACGATCACTTCAGCACTTATAAAAGTTATTAAGTTTATAAGTCTCGTTACCCATACGTGCTATCGAAATTATCTTAAGCTATACAAATTCTGTAATAGTATGCTCTACATAATATGAATTTACATTACATATTTCTATCGTTCTCGTATTTGCTTTGATCCAGTCACCTTCCTAAGAACACAGAAATATAACTAATTACGCTTATTTTTTCCTTTAAGTAATAAAACGGTTTGTAGTCTTGCAAATAATTCTATTAATACATACCTTGATTCCTAATTTTTCAAGTGTATCTGTTTTTTGTATGGGTTTATCATTATACGTGAATTCATATTTATAAGGAAGTGTGTTTGGTTCTCGGTTTGGTCTGAACGCACATTCACAACCTAAATTAAGAAACTCTTCAAGTGACTTTGACAATAATTCTCCAGTAGTGTGTATAGTCACATTCGCTTTGTATTTGTAAATGTTATGAGTTTTCCGATATGTTGTTGATACAGTTTCTGTGTATTCAACACGGATAGTAAAAATTGGAAGATTGCTATGAATGTGCATTTTTGCAAAATTCTGACATTGTACGTACGTATTCTATATCACTATTTTATACAATTCATTATATGTACAGTACATAAGTACGTACGTATGTATGTACGTACGATACGTATTAACCATTTTAGATCATGATTATAACAAATGAGTGTGTGTGAATGAAAACCTATAACCAATCATAGTAAATCATTAAATAAAGAACTTATTTTCACTTTTATGCACTCAAATGGTAAATTTTCGGGAATTGGAACCGGCTGTTGGATACTAAATTGGAACGTTCAACTAAAATAAGTGTTTGGAGACTCCAATTAATACTTGTCGGAAAACGAAATGAAATTAATATATCCTTTTTTGAAAACAATACATCTTCTGTTTAAGGGCGTTCTTAAGCACTTCTCAACGAAGAATCTGATTAGTCTGTCTGATCAAACTGACTAACCAAACTAGTGCTTGACCCGGGTGGGCGCCACCTGGATCACCCACGAGTAGACGGATGACCCGGCTTTGAGTTATAGCAACCAGGATGGAAATGGGTGTACCAACCGCGGGTCAACCCGTTTAAAGAGATTAACTCGCGTTTATTTAGCTTGTAAAAATATAGTGATCATTTATTAATTAAAGTACTCAGTATGCGTCCATTTATCAGCGTTTATTAATCTATGAGTATATCAATAAAACGTTTCAAATAATTTTTTATTCGCATTTAAGATAAGCTATTCATTCTTATTAACAACCGTTTATCGAATGAGGTTAGAGTCTTACCGTTACCCGAGTCGGAAAATACCAACCCGGACGGGTCAAGTATTGACAACAGCAGAGACAGTGCCCGATCCAGAGTGAATCCCTCACTCCAATCACAAATTAAATTATTTATATTGGATCCAATTGTGATGGATATAACCCTCACCAGTTTTAATATATGTGTAACATTAACGGTCTCTGCTGTTGGTATTGACCCGGGTTATAACCGGGTCAACCAGTCATACGGAAATTTATAAAGTTAATCCTTAAAATTTGATGTAACAACTCTTAGTATAAAGAGCGGCATGTACCCCAAATATTTAAACTGGACCCGAATAAGAACTTTACTATTTAATATAAATTATAATATGTCTTCTAATTCAGTTATATTACAGCTATTATCATAATTTCTGGGACACCTGACAAAAATTAGCCGTCCCGATTCGGTTATGATTCCGGCATAATAGATTCTATAAATTAATATATACGTAAATTACGTACGTACGTATGTAATTTATGATAAGGTAACTAATATTATATAGTCATTGCGAAGATTATGCTGTATTCTATGTGCGATGATGATTAGTTGGTAACCTGCCGGTACTGCTGGGGTTCTACACAAAATCCCGATATCCAAAATCTCGACGGTCATAATACTGACATCACGCGATATGACAATTAAAATTTAAAGTCTGACAATTATTGTTAATGTGATTATTAATCTTTAAATATTAATTGTCACGTCGGGATTATGGTTTCGAGATTTTGGATATCGGGATTTTGTGGTAGAACCACGGCTGGGTTACCGAACGATCAGAAGAGAACATAAAATACAGCAGTTGATGCATACGGGATGCAATAACAGTTTTATTCAATGATTTACTATCTCAGTTTATGAAATAAGATCAATAATTTTATCATAATAAAAAGTACCATACAATAATTGATTTATTTTATAGACTGATCATAGTAAAGCATTTGCCAATACGAATATCTCAGTCAAATATAGAACATGATGCTTTTAAAGCATCTTCTCCGGCGAATAATTGAAAAAAATTTAGAAGCTTATCATTTCGGAAATTGAAAAACACTTGGATATTAGCATGTCTTTTATAAGTCAAGCACTTTCGAAGATGTGGGCATATTGAAAAACTGCTGTGACGAATATTAATAAAATCATGATTTTTTTGAACGAAATCTTTGAGTCACATCTTTAAACCAGTCGACAAATTCTTGACCTTATTCAATATCAGCATCTATTCGTGTAATATGTTTACTATAAAGTTTATTTTATATTGGTTCCTTTTTATAATTCTTGTCAATATTTAGCCTATTCCATAAGTTTTCGCACAAACTAAACACACTAAACATTCAACCGAAAATTTAATAATCTCGAACGTGTCAACATTTATAATGATAAATTACCTGTAGAACAGGTATTATATGTAGTATATGTCTTTCATATATTCTATATCTTCCCAATGATCTTGAAGAATTTTTTTTGATTATTCTTGCATAATACGTATGTGAATAACGCTAGCCGTAGATCTGATATAAAAATGAATATAAAATTATAGTTCCGAACACCAAGGTGGATTCTAGTAATGCTGTCAAAGCTTTCGTAATACTGGCGTAATAATCATGTACCATTGCACTATTTATTGTAAACTTACGTACAGTACGTACATGAATACGTACAATTTGGATTTTTATCAGTTATTGAATCTATTTATTATGCCGAAATAATAACCGGATCGGCCAAAAAATCATTCGGCACATTTTCACTGATGTCCCGAGAATTATGATAATAGCTGTAAGTAAATTGCGTATAGTTTCGAAAATAAGCACCCATGGCCGACAGGGGTAAAATCACCATCCAAAAAAGTTTTGAAAATCATGTGATATTGTGATAATCGTGATTTGGATCATGATAATATTTAATTGATTTCGTAAGCGATTTTTTTTCTTCGATTCTTCGAAATGAAAAGCGGTCGTTGCAATCTCGACAAACAAAGTGATTCTTTTAAAAGCATAAAATCCAATAAACTCAGTATTTTAAAAATATGCATTTATTGCCATAACCAAAATTTCACTAATAACAATCGAAAAAAGAATGAATTTGAAATAAAATTATAAAAACTAATCAAAAAAACAAAATGCAATTTTCCCCAGAAAACCTTGTAGATGTTATTTTTAATGCTCTTCTGGATGATTATAACTCTGATTTTATATTTCTGAACCCAGGACTCAGCAAAAAAAACCATTGAAGAAACATATGAATTCAAATAATAACAAATGGCCAGATAGTATTAATAAAAACTTTGAGCCATTGCATAAATTGGAGGATTATAATTATTTTAAAAGGTAATGGAACGCTTAGAAAAACTGTAATCATAATACTTTCTGGCTGTAGTAAATAGTACGTTTATTGAGTCTATTCGAAATAAATAAATTGATTAATTTATTGCTTATTGTTATTATTTTGTTAATTTATAGTTCAAGTAAATGAATTTTTAGTGCTCGATATATTTGCACGCGATGTTCGAAACTTTTTTTGGTTGCGATTTTTACCCGGTCCCCATGGCCTGCACTATACCAATTTTGGCTTGTATTATAATTATTTTGGTCTGCATTACATGCAAAAAAAGGCACTTATTTTCGATAATAGGGGTTTTAAAATTACTGCTATTATCATAATTCTTGGAACAATGATTTTTTGGCAAGTTTATAAAGATTCAATAAGTTGATATATGCACGTACGTAATTTAAGATCAGGTGACTAATGTAAACTTTATAAGACTACATACGTACGAATATCTTTGGTTGAATACAGAAGTATGATACTTTCAAAATATTTTCGCTGTAGAAGGCTTGTTAGTTCGAAAAATTGCTAAACACTTAGGTGTTAGAAAATCTTCTATAAGTCGGTGTATGTATTAAAACCTTCCGTAACACATTTTCGACAAATATTAACTTTTTGGAATACCGAATTACTTTTTGACAAATTGGAATAATAATTTTTTTTAAATATAGAATTATTTTTTAAATCAGTTGATAAATTTTCGATCATGTCTAACTTTTAATGTTACCTATTCGTGTAATATGTTTATAAATATCTAATTTATAAACAAACTTATCCATAAATTTTCGTGCAAACTAAATATATCAAATATAATGGGTAAGTATTCAAACGAAAATTTAATAATGTTGAATGCGTTGACATTATAATGATAAAATTATCAGTAGAGCAAAGCATTACATGTAATCTATCTTTTATGTACCGATCATGTGGCTAATTTTTATTAGGTGCTTCATTCGAGTTGACTTAAGTCAACAGATCGAAAAGCTGGCTAAGCGGGAACAGTCCTGCCAACTCCAAAGTCAGACAACCAGTCGGGGACCGGTTCAACGGTCATCAGGATGAAACGGGTATATCGCATGAGATAACACATGCACAAGATAAGAACCATTTAATCAATTGCTATATTTGGTATTATTAGTTATTGAATTACGCTGATGGCGGTTATACCCGGCGCAAATCGTAATTGCTATTTCCGGGAGCATAACCAGTCTCAGCTTGTGCATCGATCGCACCGATGTACGCTGCTGCTGCATATTGCCAATAAAATTCGTTTAATAAAGTTTCAATCTGGCTCTAGCGGTCAGGTGCTTCCAAAAAAAAAAATGGGTATCACATGCGTGCAATGATTTTCGAGAATTATGATAATGGCTGTAGCTCATTTCAGTCTTATTTCTATTTTCAAATTCCGACTCAGGGAATTAAATAGACGCACGCGTTAATAAGATTGGCTTTGTTTTTCTACCAGTAAACGATTATATAAATAAGTTTATACGTTAAATATATTGATATGCAGGCTTATTTACGTCAATAATTACGGCTCAACCTACTTTTTATATAATTCGAATAGCCGTTAAAATTCGAATAAATATCTACTACTGTATTTTTAAAATTCAGAAATGTAACCTTTAAACCGATTTTGATTGGTTAGTCACGAGTTCCTTGTGTTATGTGTAGCTTCGTTGTTTGCAAATTATATAAGAGATTACATGCATATTTCTAGTAAAAATGTGAAAAAATACTCTGAGAACATTATGCACATAAATTTTATACATTATAGTCAGGGTTGTCACGTTTATGTTTTTTCTATTGGCTTCTAATTTTATTCATTTTTTTTTATTTTTCTATTGTAAATTTTAAGTATTAAACTTTACTAATTAAATATAAAATTATTTTAAATTTATTACTTTACTAATGTTCTAACAATATATGTTTAAATAATTGTAAATTATTAATAAAAATTTTTTTTTTATATGAAGACAAAAAATTGAGCTTTTGTTCTATTGTTCTATTTGTCAACACTGGTTATAGTTATTGTATGAATATGTATGTGTAAGTTAGTTACACACAGGTTCATATTTAAATCACGTGGCCTTCAGCCACGTGATTTAGATATGAACCTGTGTGTAACTAACTTACACAATACATATTCATACAATAACTATATTAACCCATGCATAACTATTTAATAAATTAAATTTTTTGTATTACTATTTAAGTAATTTCTTTCTTTAATTTGTTTGTAAAACTTCTTGCTTACTAATTCTAACCTTCTTTTTTACAAATGCCAAATAGCAGTCTTACAGTTGAGGATCCTGAAGCCCAATGGCTTATAAACTTTTATATGTTGAAAATACAAAAAAATATACTTCAAAGTGGTTTTGTCATGTTGATCAATACTGTGGAGAAAAAAGCATTACAAAGATGTTGGACCAGTTCAATAATAAAAAAGAACTTGATGTATTCATGTGCTCATTTCTTGGTTGGCTTAAAAAAAAAAACAGTATATCATTTAAAGTTGAGTCAATCCATAATTGTTATGCTACTTTTGCAAGATATCTTTATAAAAACTCTGCTATAAATGATGTTTGATTTTGGAATAAGTATTTATTATCTAGAGCGCTTTGTTGTTTGAATAGAAAAATGAAGTCTTTGCAAAATGCTGGTTATGGTATTACAATGAAAAGTGATTTTCTAATATTAGAAGAAATTATATTCTGTTTTAACCATGATTATCTTTTAATTGAAAATAATGAAGGCTTGATTAGAAGGGTTTTCTTGTAGCTATTATTGCTTTGTAGATTAAAAGGCAGTGATACATATAGGCTAAAGTATCATAATCTTAAAAGATGAAATGATAGTAGCCTGAAATTAAGATTTCAACATGAAAAAAATAACTATATCATCAACAATATGGCTATACTGCAATATAATTTATTCCAATCTCTTCAGATCGTATTAATAATCAATTTACATTCATTAAAGATCTTCTTTTATATTTATCAAAATGTTTATATGAGTGTGAAGCTACAAGTGCATTATTTTTGCAATGCAATAAAAAACAATCTGGTAATTATAGATTTTTAAATTTTTTTTATTTGAATTATTAAAAACTAAAGTTTACTTTTTTTTTTAGAAATAAAAGATGGTATCTAGTATAAGAAATCTTGAATGAGTGAAAACAAATTAAAATTAATAATGCAGTGATAGTAATCAACACAGAAATAAATCTTAGAATTTATTTAAAATTAACCAATGGTGAAATTCACCGGCATAAGAATTTTAGAGTTAGGGTGCGGTTTTAGGAGTTTTTTTTTTTTTATAGAATATAATGTAGAGTAGATATAAGGTCTCGATTTAAGTTCTCATGAGGTTTTCAGGGGTCCTGAACATTTTTACTCAACCTACACGACCTCTGTTTCATAATGCAGTTTTCGAGATATAGCACCCCGGTGAATTTCACCTCTGGTGAGTGTTAAAATACACCTAAATCTTAATAAAAGAAAAATAATGTTCATAGTATTTAACATATTGCAATTATGATGTTAAAGACTTCCAATGTTCTTGAAGATGAAGCAATAATATTCTTAGAACATTGGTTTTGTGAAGGTATTTGGGCTTACAACAGTCCAACTGAAAATCAGCATTTATCTTCTATAGTATTGTTAATTTCATATGCAGTATACAATGAAGATCTTAAATCATTTTATACATTTTCAGGAAATTCATATATTGATTATAAATTTGGTGATAACAAAGAATTGGGTTAGTATAAACTATTAAAAAATATTAACAATTTAATAATCTAATTATCTTTCAGATATTAAAATTATAAGCGTACCAAATCTAAGTCAAAAACTTTTAAATTTTATCTCTAAATATCAATTTCCAGTAAGTTTTTTTTTATCACTTAATTATAAATTAATTTTTATTTATTTACTTCTTTTAACATTTTAGATAGGCTTTAAAAGTTCTGTAATAAATAATAAGAAAGCAATGCACCATTATAACTAACAACAACCATGGCATTACCATTATGATTAGCAACAACTACAGTATCACTATTATAATTAGCAACAACTATGGCTTTACTATCATGATTAACAATAACCACAGCTTCACTATTATGATCAATAACAATTGCAACTTCATAATGACTAGCAGCAACTATAGCTTCATAATGACTAGCAACAACCATTGCTTCACCATCAGAATCAATCAATGCAAATAAAAAAAGAACAGAAACAAGAACAAGACAATTGCAATGAGCAAATAATTAAATATTATGAAGACAAGCAAATACAGAGGCCAACTAAAAAAAAAAAATATTACAACTCATAATGAATATTATAAATTTATAAATTTCAGATACTAAAAAGCCAATTGATATTAATTTGAAGATTTTCTTCAATAATTAATATATATACATTTTTTAAAAAATGTAATGTTTTATTAAAATATATTATTTATCTTACAAATAAAATAAATAAAATGTCATTGTGAAAAAAAAATAAATGCATTTTTTTTTTAAAAAATTTGCTGTATATATAATAAGATTAGTTACAGATTTGTATCAAGATAATATTTTTTTTTTTTTTGTAAATGCCATAGTTGAAACTTTATTTAAAAAAAGTAGAGAAAGATCTACATTTAAAGATTTC